CAACAGCATATTTCACAGAACTAGAGAAAACAATCCAAAAGTTCATCTGAAACCAGAATAGACCTACAATAGCAAAAGCAATTCTAAGCAACAGAGACGTGACAGGGGGTATCACAATTCCCAACTTGAAACTATACTACAAAGCTACTGTGATAAAAGAAGCATGGTACTGGCAAAGAAACAGACCCGAGGATCAGTGGAACAGATTGGAAGATGCAGAAACAACTCCAGACACACTCAGCTACCTCATCTTTGACAAAGGAGCCAACAACTCTCATTGGAGGAAAGATAGCCTCTTAATAAATGGTGCTGGAAAAACTGGATTTCAACTTGCCAAAGATTAAAACTAGACCCATATCTTTCACCATGCACTAAACTAAAATCAAAGCGGATTAAAGATCTAAATATTAAAACAGAAACACTAAATTTGCCGGAAGACAAGTTAGGTAGAACCCTCGAAGACACTGGCATAGAATAAGACTTTATGAACAAATCTTCAGTAGCATGGGAACTAGCACAAAGAATCAACAACTGGGATCTCATCTTATTAAAAAGCTTCTCCACTGCAAGAGAAGCCACCAACAGAGCTAAGAGGCAACCTACAATGTGGGAAAATTTTTTTACTGTTCCTTAGACAAGGGTCTACTATCTAGAATATATAAAGGACTAGAAAATATCAGACCCCCAAATATAACTCAAAAATGGGCATCTGAAATGAATCGACTTTTCTCAGACAAAGAAGTAGAAGCAACAAATAAACACATGAAAAAATGTTCAACATCACTGGTCATTCAAGAGATGCAGATGAAAACAATACTGGAATTCCACCTCACCCCGCAAGGAATGGCTGATATCAAGAAATCAACCAATAACAAATGCTGATGGGGTGTGGGGAGAAAGGAACCCTTCTCTATTGTTGGTGGGAGTGCAGACTGGTGCGACCATTGTGGAAATCAGTATGGAGATGCCGCAAAGAACTAGGATTGGAAGTCCCATTTGACCCAGCTATTCCTCCACTGCGTATCTTTCCAAAAGAATTAAAAAATCATGCCAGAGTGATCTATGCACACCCATGTTTATAGCGGCACAGACTGTAATAGCTAAAACTTGGAAACAGCCCAATTGCCCATCAACTGGAGACTGAATAAAGATGTGGTTTTAAAAAATAAAATGGAGTACTACTCAGCCATAAAGAATGAGAGACTAGAGACATTTATAGCTAAGTGGATGCACATTGAGGCTATACTCAAGTGAAATAAATAGGATACACATGTGTGAATATTGAATAGTTCCTCTGGTGTGAAAAACTAAAAGTGTAAATAAGAATAAAAATGTATAATTGACATTGTGAAATAGGAAGAAAATGTTTAGAGGAATAGGGGAGGTGGGAGTGGAAGGGGAAAGGAAAGAAGGGAAAAGAAAAAATATGAGAAAAGGAAAAACATGGAAACAAAGATTTTTAAATAGGGAAGTGTGGAGGAGGTGAAGGGAGGGCAGGGGAGTGGGGAAAAATAAGAACCAAGATACATCATGTAAAGGTACAAGATCCCAATGATGAATGTATTGTATACCTAAAATGTACCAATTAACTAAATGGAAACCCCCCCCCCAGGAAATGGCTCCAGCAGGAATATTCTTATATTCATGGCATTAGGGAATCTGCAGAAACTGCTGTGCTAGGTCTGGATGACCTAGGTGACTTTGGTTTCATGCTTCATATTTCACCAAGGCTAAAGAATTGGGGACCTAATTGTTGTGGCATTTAAAATCTTTTCTCAAATAAAACTGCCCCCTGTTCACAGGGGACTTATGCTCCATTCTCACCCCTGGTTGGCTGCTCTCCTTCTCCATCAGTGGGAGGCCCTGTCTTCCCCTTCTGTCTATGGTTGTCTAGAAGCCCCTCCTCGGGGCTGTCACCACTTCTTGTCTTTATCTGTCCAGGATCTCTTGTTGCCTTCTTTAAGGCTGTAATTTCAGACACCAGAGATCTCGGGACCTTGCTTCCCAGTCCCCAGTCTTCTTATCCCACGAAGACAAGTGTAACCCAGCACACACTACCACTGCTTCCTGTCTCCCTCTGTTATCTGCAAGAGGGAGCTCTTTAGTCAACTTTTATCTTCACTTTCTTCTCTTCTTCTGTGCTTCTGAAACAAAGCACTCTACCTGGGCCCTGGAACTGCTAAAGTCTCTCCAGGGTCAAAAACACTCTTCCTGATCATTATGGTTTATATCTAGATGTTCCCCAAACCCTCATGTGCTCAGAGGTGGGCTTTAGGGTGGTGATTGGATCATGAGAAGTGATTCCCATCATTGTGGATCGGTCCATGGATGAGTTTATAGCTAAATGAGACGTGGGAGGTGGAGCCTGGTTGGAGGAAGTGATCACAGGGGGCGTGGCCTGGAAGGGTCAATCTCCCTCCTCCTCCCTTGATCCCTCTCTCTCTTCCTTTAGCCACCCTGCCATGATGATCTCTTTCTCCTCTGCTCTGCTGCCCTGCCTTGGAGCCAGTCAGCTATGGATTGAAACCTCTACAAACCGAGCCAAAATAAACCTCTCCTCCTTCAGCTTGTGGGTTTCAGGTATTTTGTCCCAGCAATGAGAAAGTAACGACCAAATGGAACCGCTATGCATTGCTGGCAAGAATGGAGGATGGTAAAAGCACTTTGGGAAATGGTTTGGCAGCTTCTTATAAAGTTAAACATTCACGTATTATATGACTTACACGCACACATTTACCAAAAGGAAGTGAAAACATGAGATCCATGAGCTGTGCTTCGGTGGTGTTGCCTGAAAGTCCACATACTAGAAACTTAATCTCCAAATTCTATGTGGATGGCATTTGAAGGTGAGGACTCTGGGAGGAGGTTGATTAGGATTAGATGAAGCCATGAGGACTCTTCCATGAAGTCACTAGTGGTGTTTTAAGCAGAGAAAAGGAGGCCCCTGCTAGCAAGCTTGCTCTGTCTTACCGTGTCATGTCCTCCTGCATGTTAGGACAGGGTTATGGTTTGGATATGGGCTGAATGTGTCCAGCAGAGATTCGTGTGTTGGGAGCGTGGTCCCCAGTGTGGAGATGGTAAGAAATGGTAGGATTCAGAAGTAGGGGTGCAGTGGGAGGCCACTGGGGGTACTGCCCTTGAAGGACATGAAGGTAGTTCTCATGAGACCCTGGTTAGATCCCGGTTCTCACAAGAGCATTGTTATAGCAGAGCAAGACCAGATCCTCCCCACTTTTTCTGACTTCCTGTCTCCCCATGTGACCCCTTCCTCTTGTATACTCTTCCACCCTGATGCCGTGATAGCGTCCGAAGTCAGGGGGCCTTACAAGAGCCAGTGGCACGCTGTTTGGACTTTGAGCCTCCCAAACAGTAAGCTAAATAAACCTCCTGATAAAGGACTCAGCCTCAGGGATTTTGTTTCAGCAATAAAAAGTGAACAAATTCCTGAAGTCAATGTCCTTACCGAAGGCGCGTACCATGCCTCCAGAACCACGGGCAAACTAAACTTCTGTTCTTTATAAACTACTGAGCCTTGGGTATTTTGTTTATAGCAACATAAAACAGACTAAGACATCATACAAAGATTTGCATAGAAGCTCAACTAGTATTGGAAACAGTCCAAATGTCATCAGCGGGTCTTATGGTTTAGGCAAAATGTCCCCCAAATGCCTTATATGTTTGGAAGGTGACTGGATGGATCATGCGGGCACGAGGCTGACTTGTTGGAGGGGCTTGGTTGGAGGTGGTCACAGGGAACATGAACTGGAAGGGTGTGTTCTTGTCCCCAACTTCCTCTTTTCCTTTCTGCTTCCTGGCTGCCACGGGCTGAGCAGCTTCCCTCCACTGTGCCTCTGTGCCATCTTCTTCCTGCCTTGGACCACAGACTGAAATGTGAGCCAAAAAGGGAGCTCTCCTTCAAGTTGTAGGTGTTGGGTATTGTGTCTCGGGGGCAGCAAAGTGACTAAGAGACCAGATGAATAGGTAAGAGAATTGTGGTCTAGCCACACAATGGAATATGACTTAGTAATAAAAAGGAGTAGATGATTGATTCACAGAGACAAAAGACTATGACCTGTATAGTTCCATATATGTGGAATTTTGCAAACGGCGAGTCAAACTGACAGTGATTAGCACATTAGTGGTGGTCTGGGGCAGGGCTAGGGGTTGGGATTGACTAGCAAGGGCCGAGTGGGTGGTTTCAAGGGATTATGGACATGTTTGTATCTCACATGGTGTTCTCTCTTCTTCCAGTTTCGTGCTGTCCTAGCCAGGCAGCCTGGGGGCTCCAAGGAGCCTTTCATTGTGGAACTCAAATCTGCTGGCCTGCTGCTCTCCTCGGTTGGACCTGGCTCCACTGGAAATTCTGAGAGAGCCCCCAGGTCCCCAGTTTGGAAGCAGGAAAGTTTGGGAGTGCAGGGTGAATTCAGGTCGAAAGTCCCCAGTTGTGAGAGCCAGGGTCTGTGGCACCGGACTCCTCTGTGAGTTCAGCCACATGTATTCTCTGAGACGGATTCCTGATCGTCCCACCCAGTGGTCACGGGAACTAGTGGAGTGGGCTGAAGGAATTGCTCACCGAATTAGGGAAGCCCTTACTCTTTCTTGTCTGGGTGGCCTGTACTCTCTGTAGCGGGGAACAGGCTGCTCTCAGCATGGGGCTAGTGCTGCGTGTCTCACCATAGCCTCTCTTTCCAAAGACAAGGATGGCTCCCACAAATGCCGTGCACTCCTTCCTTCGTTCCTCCATTATGCCCCTGGTTGGATGGTTCCCATGCCCCGCTACACCTGAACGGAGAGGTCCCTAGTGTGAGTACTGGGTATGGCCAGCTCCTGTGTACCCGGCCCACTTGGACTAAGCTGTGTTCGAGGGGCTGAGGGGAAACGGTCCAGGGTGGGAAGGTGCTGCTGCCTTCCGGTCCCCCTTGACCACGTGGTTACCTGCCCAGGTCAGGACTCACTTCCTGGTAGCACAGCAGTCTCTAGGATACAGCCTGGAACATCTCTCCGGAGCTAGGAGCTTAGACTCATGTCTCAAACGTTTATTAATGCTGCAGAAATGCAGGAAAACAAGCAGCCCCATCCCTCAGTTTCTTGACTGTGTCTAGGAAGAGAGGTGAGGTCGGATGACCAGGTGCAGGAGCAGGGATTTTGGAGCTGGTGGAAGTTAGGTTAGGTCAGAATGTAGAGGGTTTCGGTGAGGTTGGAGCAGAGGTCTCTGGGCCCAGGCCCTAGACAGGGCTGTGCGGCACTGCGGGGTTCTCCGTAGTGGTGGATGCGGCAAGGACTGGGTGTACGCTCCCCGAGCATGCGCAGCTACCGGGACACGCCCTGGGGTGGGCGGGGCGCGGCGGGGGCGGGGCCAGCTCAGCAGCGGCGCCGCTTCTCGCAGATCCAGCCGTCCAGCTCGCTGCTGCAAGGCGCGTCGTTCCACAGCCCCGTGTGAAGCAGCATGACGCAGTCCTCTTGCCCCCGAGAGTCATTGGGCTCCCCCAAATTCCAGTGGCTGCGATGATTAAGTGGGGGCGTGGCTGGGAGTCCAGCCTTCCTTCCTGGCGTCCAGCCCGTGATTGGGCCTGCCCCGGGCACCCTGCTGTCTAGCCTGGGCACGCACGCCGGGGACGGGTCCCTCTCTTCCCTGTGCCCCGTGTCTTCAGGGCATCGTTGACACTCCTTGTGTGGAGTTGGTGCGTGAACATAACACACCGTAATTGCTTTTTTCAGCCCCTTTCCCTCCCTTTTCCTATTGGAGAAAAATGAATCTCCCTACTTCCAATTATCTATCTTTTATTTTGCTCTTTCTTCGTATTTTGGGTTTCTCGTATAAGAGAAAGCATATGATACTTAAGTGTGTGTGTCTGATTTATTCCATTTAACATGATAGTCACGAGGTGCATCCGTTTTTCTACAGATGACTCAAGTTTTTCTTTACGGCAGAGCGGTGCTCCACGGTGTGCGAACACCATATTTCCTTTATCCCTTCATCTGTTGATGGACACACAGGCTGCTTCCAAGACTGAGCTACTGTGAATTGTGCTGCTATAAGCGTGCGTGTGCGTGCATCACTGTCACTTTTTAAGGTCACCCTTAGCCAGCACCCGAGGCGTAGCTTCCCATCCCTAAGGATCTAGCCAGAGCCAAGGGTGTCCCTGAAACATGGCCCAAAGCACACACCCCACCCCACCCCCCGGAGGTCTAACTTACCCCTCCCCAGATCTCACAGGAGCCCTTTCCTCACCTGAAGCCCAGCGAGACTCCGTCCACCCACTGGTAGCTCTGGATCCGGCCCGCGCTGCGCACACCCCTCAGGCCCAGCCAGTAGCCGCGGTCTCGCGTGTGCCGAGTCACGAAGCCCTGAAAGGGACCCGCGTGGGCCAGCGGAGTCGGCGGCCCGGCGGCCCGGCGGCCCCCCGGCCCCTCCCGGGCCCCGCCCGCGCTCTCTACCGTGCCCCGCAGCGCACCTGCTCGTCCAGGTCGCCGATGATCACCAGGTGCGCGTCGTTGCCCAAGCAGTTGCGCTCCGCCTCCGGCCAAGTAGCTTGTGGCTCCGAGAAATAGTAGCAGGAGCCCCGGAAGGGCAGCCACGAGGTGGGACACTGCTCGCAGGAGCCTGCGGAGCGCGGCGAGTGGAGAGGGGCGGTGTTGGGGCCCCAGGCTCAGGGCTGGAGCCGGAACCAGGCCCAGATGGAAGGGCAGGGTCCCCGGGTCCCTCCTCCCATCTGCTCACTGTTCTGGAGCCTGGCGTTCTCCAGCTCCCGGAACAGCTCGTTACGGATGTTCTCGCGGTCCCGGCCCGCTGTGGCCAAGTCCTGGGTCACTGCAGAGTCAGGGCAGCGGGGACTTTAGCTAGTTAGGGCCAGGAGCCGAGTCACGACTCTGCTAAGCGAAGGTCAAAACCCAAGCCCTTGGTTAGCTGGCATCGGATGTCAGGGGTCAAGCAAGACATCAGCTGTAACCAGGTGCGTCACAGGCGTGGCTGCGAGGGGGAGCTATGGGCGAGGTCAGGGTCCGGCGATCGACCGGGGAGGGGGCGCGGGGTAGAGTCGGTCACGACTGGGGGTCAGGGTCGCGTCCGGGCCTCACCGCGCTGGCGCAGTTGTTCCAGGGCGCTTTTCTGCTCCAGCAGCGTCGCCTCTGCCTTCCGCAGGTCCGCCACAGCCTCCAGCAGCGTCGCCTTCGTGGCGTTGCCTGAGAAGGGGTGGGTGGTTGATGTCGCTTAACATCACGGTCTCAAGGTGCATCGTTTCCCTACCAGTGGCTCAGATGTATCCTTCCTATGGCAGAAACCCAAAGTATAATTTAAACAACAAAATAAAGTTTGGAGAATAGGCACCAGGGAGACAAATCCCTTGGAAAATGGGGAGGGGACCACGGGATGTTGGGAAAGAAGGGGCAGGAGATGAAAAGAGTCAAGATGCATCATGTCCACGCACCGACTCCCCATGAGGAATGTAATCAGTGTGGACTGCAAGCGGGGGAAATAAAAATGAAAAGGAAGGAAGGGTCAGCGAGGTGGGGGCCCTGCCCCCGCGGGCCTCTTCCGATCCACCTGCCGCGAGCCCGCGCCCTCAGGCCACACCCAGCCGGGTCTCACAGCAGCTCCTGCAGGCTCCGACCTCCCGCTTCAAGGCACCCAGCACCACCGTCTGCTCCGAAGCTGGAATGACAGCCCCCACCCCGAGCATGCTGGTCACCTAAGGGGACTCGGGGACCACCTCCCCCAGTCCGAGACCAGGCCAGGGACTCATTTCGCTCCCGTCCCTTCCGCACGCACCGTTTGTCCTCAGCAGGTCCTGGCGGTCAAGCAGCGCTCCGCGGTCGGTGGAGGCTGCAGAGAGAAGGTCACGCGGGCTCGGCCTGGAGGGAGGTGACTGGGGAACCTTCCCCCCGCCCAGGGGAAGCGCTCGGGATGTGGCTCGAGTCTCCCCACGAAGGGGTCACTCACCTTTGGACAAGAGGATGCTCAGAATGAGAGCCCACAGCACTGTGACCGCCAGGACAGCCAGAGCTAGGAGGCAAACTCTTGGCCGGAAGTACTCCCAGCGTCCCCAGGGCCCTAGGAGAACACAGGTGACCGGTGGCCCGAGCCCTGTGGTGAGGTTGAGGGAAGTTGAGGGATCTGCCTACCCTCACACCGCCTTCCCACCCCGGTCACAGCGGGTCCGCGGCTGTGCTGTTTCTCCTGCCTCTCCCTCTCTTCTCCCCTTTCCGACCCCAACACTTGGACAGTGGGACTCCAGGGGTCCAGGAGACAGTCCCAGTGCTCATACCTCCTCCGGGGACTTCCTCAGGGCTGCTCTCCCACTGGCTGTATCTGACAGTGTCCATGGTGCCCCTGGCATCCAGCCTAGGCAGAGACCCGCATTTAAATTCCAGTCCCACCCTGGCTCTGCCCTTTTTCCTTTCTTCTCTCCCTCCCATTTCCTTGGCCGCAGTAACTCCCAACAGGAACCTGTTCATGGACCAATCAGAGTTCTGGGCTGGGGAGGGCTGGGGGTGGAGCATTTCTAGCATCCCTGGCCTGGTTTCCGTAGCTGCATCCATCCTTATTTCCTGTGGGCTGGGGGCTGGGCATCCTGAGAGGGATGCAAGGAACCCAGCCAAGATATTCAGAACCCTGCTGGATCCCAAGTCCCTCCAGTGTGGCCTCGGCCTTGGCTACAGTGAGTTCAGGTCAGCCTGAGCTACATAGCAAGACCCTGTTTAAAACATAAAAGAGAATATCTGTAGATTCCCCATTCTCTTCATTCTCGCCTTAAACTAATGGCAGATTTGTGTGTGTGTGTGTGTGTGTGTGTGTGGTGCTGAGGTTGGAACCCAGGGCCTTGAACATGCTAGGCAAGTGCTCCATCTCTGAGCTGCACCCCAAGCCCTCAAAAACATTGTTCAAAATTGTGTCTTTCCTGAGCAAGGGCAGACTTTTGTCATTATTCCCTAAACAATGCAGTCTACCCACTGTGTGCATTGCATTTCCATTGTGTCAGGTGTTATAGGGAATCTAGAAGGGACTCAAATTATTTGGGAGAAGGTGTGTGGTCTGTATGCAAACATGGCATCAATTGATGATAGGGGACTTGAGCCCATGGTGTTTTACCCTAGAGCCCATCCCCTGAGGCCCATCCCTCTTGGTTTTTGAGGGATGACTGTCTGCATCCAGGAAACCATCCCCAGTCTTACGGAAATGTGCCTACCACCTCACTCTCTTTTGTAACTCTCCCCCACCCCTGATGTCCTTACTACTTTTGGTGGCAGCCACTCATCTTTCTGTTATTAGATTGACTTGCATTTTCTACAGTATCTAGCTTTTTGAATCTCCTCTTTCCCTCAGTGTAATTACTTTGCGATTCATTCATGCTACTTCCGGTATCAATAGTTCATTCTTTTTGATTGCTGAGTCGTATTTCATTGTGCATTTGGACCACAGTTGCTTATATAGTCACCTGTTGATAGGTGCTTGGGTTGTTTCCATGTTTTGGCTCTTAAGACTAGAGCTAAACTGGGCACAGTGGTGCAATCCCAGGCTGTAATCCCAGCTCCCGAAGGCTAAGGCAAGAGGATTGCAAGTTCCAGGCCAGCCTGGACAACTTAGACTCTGGTTCAAAATAAAAAAGTGGTGGGGGACGTAGCTCAGTGATAAGGTGCCCCTGGGTTTGATCCAAAGTACCTTTTAAAAAGCAGTTATGAGCACTTATGTACAAGTCTTTGTGTGGATTTATGGATTTTTTAATTTTGGTACTGGGGATCGAACTCAGGACCTTGAGTTAGCAAGGCAGACATTATGCATTTTTTTTTTAGGTAAACACCTAGAAGTATAAAGCTATGACATATGAGTAGATAAGTGTTTCACTATTTAACAAAAAACCAATACTAACATGTGGGAGTCCCTGGGTTTAATCCTCAACACACACACAAAAAAAACACAGCAAAACAAATTTCAAAAGCAAAAAATCCAAAGGAGTTTGCCATTTTGTTTTCTGCCTAACAATGTCCGAGAGTTTCCATTTCCCCACATCACGCCTGTGATCCTAGCACTCAGCTGAGACAGGAAGATCGCTGTAGGTGGGAAGAGGAGGGCCACACGGGTGTGATCTGGCAGGTCTGCCTTCTTCCCTGGCTTCTCCCTTCACCCTTTGGTTCCTGGCTGCCGTGAGGTGAGCAGCTTTCCTCTGCCAGACCCTTCCTCCATGCCTCCCGCCTTACAGACAGCTGACTTGCACTAAAAATGTGAGCTAAAACAAACCTCTCCTCCTTTAAGGTGAAGGTGTTGGGTTTTGTGTCCCTGCGATGAGGAAAGTGACTGAGACACTACTTTTAGCATCATATTTAAGGTCCTATAAAAAAAATCACAATGCATGGAAAAGGTATAGAATCTTAGTCTACTCCCTCTCACCTTTGTGGTGTCAGTAATTGAACGCAGGGCCTTCACACTGAGCTACATCCCTAGCCAGTTTTTACTTTTTATTTTGAGATAGAGTCTCACCAAGAATCTAAATTGCCCAGGCTGGGCCTGAATTTGTGATCCTCCTGCCTCAGCTTCCCTGAGTCCTGGAATTAGTTCATTTTCCGTGACTAACAACAAAATATTACAGACTGGGTAAGTTGTAAAGGACAGAAGCTTATTTTGGCCCATAGGTCTGGTCCAAGGTCAAGGAGTCACATCTGGCGGTGGTTCTCTTGCTGACAGGTGATGCCACTATGTCAAAATGGGAGCCTGAGAGACTTAACAAAATGTTAAAAATGTTCTGAGGATATAGCTTAGTGTGAAGACCCTGGGTTCATTCCCCAGTACCACACACACACACACACACACACACACACACACACATGCACACATGCATGTGCACACGCACATCTCTGTCAAACCAAAGACACACACAGAAAGACCAGATGGTTAACAGAATGGAGAGAGTTAATTACATCTAAAACTGAAAATCGATTCTGGGACATGCAAAAAATACTTCTGCAAATTAAAAAAAGACATAAAAATCAGCAGAAAAATGGGCCAAGAATATGAAGATACTATCTATTGAAGGAGAAGTGTGATTAACATGTGTTTGAGGAAGGCTTAAACTCATTAATAATTATAGAAAAAGTAACACGACCTCACCTTATACCAACTAAAATGGCAAACATCTAAAAGGTGGACAGTTTTAAGAGTTGGTGAGGATGTGGAGAGAGGAAAACCCTTATCTACTGCCTGTAGAAGTGTAAAATTGGTGGTTTTGAAAAGCAGTCTGGAAATGCATAGTGAAATGAACGTAACATATGGTCTCTGATACTGTGAAAAGAGATGACATTTTCAAGATTGGTCGCTCCAGAGATGTATTAGTTTAAAAGTGTTGTTGGGCCGGGGATTTAGCTCAGTGGTTTCACCGCCTGCTGCACAAGTGCAAGGACCTGAGTTCAATCTGCAGTACCAAAAACAAAAGTGTTTATGGTGGCAGAGTTGAGGATAATTCATATACCTATGACCAGGCAACAGATAAATAAATCTCGCGGGACACACTCTGGAACAAATCAGCAATACATCAGGTGTGCAGTGTTTTGTCACTTTCCTATCCCTGAGACACAGTACCTGACACCCGTAACTTAAAGGAGGAGAGGTTAATTTTGGTTCGTGGTCTTAGCCTGTGGTTACCTGGCTCCACAGCAGAAGCTGGATGGCAGAGGGATATGGTGGAGGCAAACGCGCTCAGCTCATGGCAGTCAGGAAGCAGAGAGATAAAGGAGGAGTTCAGACAAGAATATACCCTTCCGGGTCAAGCCCTCTGTGTTAGGGTTCAATAGAGGAACAGATTCGATGTAAAATATGTGTACAATGGTATAAGTCAGTGATGGCGAGCCTTTCAGAGCTTTCAGTGATAACAAACAGCCTGCTGCGGCACACGTGCCATAGGTTTGTCACCACTGGTATAAGTGATTTATGATGTAGGCTTACAGGATCAAAATCAGAAGATTCCCAATAGCTGTTTACCATTTCAAAGGAAGAAGAGTCCAATGGCTGTCTGTGCATGGAGGGATTGGAGGATCAAATAGCAGTTGAAGTCAAAGGCATGCAAACAGTGTAGTCACTGAAGTGAGTGTGTGCTGGGAAGCTGAAGAGAGTCCGGACTTGAAGGCTGGAGACCAATGTCCAAAGGCAATATCAAAGACCAGATCTCCCTGAAAAGGGGTGGACTTCTTTCTTCTTTCCCTTTTATTCCATCCAAGGAACAGGCCTAATCCTGGGTGCCGTCCACATTTTAGGTGTGTTGTCTCCCCTACACATCAAGCATCCACAGACACACCCAGAACTTTACTGATCTGCTAAGTAGTTCTCATTCAAGTCAGGTCTACATATGGCGATTAATGATCACGCCCTCAGTGACCCACCTCCCATCAGGACCTACCTCCTCACAGCATATTCAGTGACTGAAATCATTAGTAGGTGAATCTGCTGATGATAGTGCCCCTGTGATCCAGTTACCTTGTAAAAAGATGATACTTTTAAAAATTAAGTTTAGTGGTACAATCTAGATATACATAAAGATCCCATTGGTCATATGGAATTTGTACCTGTATATGCTATGTTTTAATTCTTATTTTTCCCCATTCCTCTCCCACCTTCAACCCTTCTTCTCCTCCTCATTTACAAAAGCTGTGTCTATTTTATCTTTCTTTTCTCATTTTTTCCCTTTTCCATTCTTCCTTCCCCTTCCCACCTCCCTAGTTTCCCTTCCCATTTGAACTTTTCCTTCCTGCTTCACATTATCTATTATACATTTTGGTTCTTTTTTACACTTTCAATTTCTCACACCAGAGAAATAATACAATACTTAAACATGTGTGTCCAATTTATTTTACTTAGGAGTATGGTCTCTAGGTACATCCATTTAGATATATATGTTGCAAGTTTATCCTTTATGGCTGAGGTATCTAGAATATATAAAGAACTGAAAAAAATCAACCCCCTCCCTAAATTTAAAGACCCAATACAAAAAAATGGTCATCTGAGATGAATACACACTTCTTGGATGAAGAAGTACAAATGCCAAGTGAATATATGAAAAAGATGTTCAACATCACTGGTCATTTGAGAGCTGCAAATTAAAACAACCCTGAGATTCCATCTAACTGCAGAGAGACTGGTTATTATCAAGAAATCAACTAATAACAAATGCTGGTGGGGCTGTGGGGAAAAAGGAACCCTTCTCCACTGTTGGTGGGAGTGCAGACTGGTGCAACCACTGTGGAAATCAGTATGGAGATACCTCAAAGAACTAGGGCTAGAGTTTCCATTTGACCCAGATATCCTCCTTCTCAGTATCTTCCATTGTACCACAGTGATACAAGAATTAAAATATAAACCATAAATAAACCATATAAACCCTAAATATAAACCATAACATTCTGTCCCTGGTCCCTCAAAGACTCATGTCC